TATGTTAAGAATACATATAGTGCTGTACATTCATATTCTGCACACCAGACTAAACCTTATACCCAAATCTGGTGCAAACTTTCAGTTGTTGAGATGCTAAGGCTGTTAAAGGAGAATATAAAAACAAATAACATCTCTGCTTTTACTTTTCTTTTTTTTTTACCTATATAAAAACTTTAATGATTTACCTACTGGAGAAAAAAGGACCAACTGATAAAAAAAATGAATGACTTTAAAGTGTATTGGGGTGTCTCTTCCTAGAACAATATGCAGAATAGATATAGTTTAATCTTTCTGGGTAATTCATACTTCTCTGACATTCTGGTCATAGTTGATTTATTTAATTTATTTTCTTTAGTTTTGGTTTATGTTATTTTTTATTAATTATTTATTCCTCAACATAAAAAAAAGTAATTAAAATGAATCACTCTGCATGTAAAAACTCTTTATCGCATATGAGGTTCACTTTAAGTTTTCCGGTATATGAGATTCATTGAGGGGAAAACTTCAAAGACTCAAAAAAAATAAATGTGAAGTTAATTATCCAGGGTAAATCCAGATGGTACTTCTGACAGGAAAAAGTTAAAAACACTTAACCTTTTCACATAATTTCAGTGCATCCATAACGTGATGTCTGGTAAAACTGATCCGACAATGAGATTTAAACTGTCAAGTGGAAAGGGTGCGATCATCCAGATCAAATCTAGTTTGTCGGCAGCAGAAACAAACCAAGTGTACATGCATGTGGCCGCAGGAGGATTGTTTGAATAGCAGCAGCAGTTTGGCTCTGACAGGGGTTTTCATCAAAGCAGACCCAGTCCTCTGCAGCCTCGCATCAGGATCCAGCCGGGGCTTCGTTGACCCCAGAAGGGAACGCCAGCGATCGCTGCGCTGCATACATTCCCCTCCACATGTTTGCTCTGCCCAGGGCGTGGCCCGCTTGGAGAGGATTACATAGAGGAATGCAGGCGAGCCCATCTTTTTAAAACAGGAGTGGAGAAGAGGGGGGTTGGGGGCAAGGCTATGGGCATAAAGTTTACGTTCAACGGAGCATAAAAAAAGGTCCAAAAACATGCAGATATAAGGGGGCTAAAGAGGTAACAGAGGAGGGGAAGTGGACTTCTAGTTCAAATAGAAGGTTGGCACCGATTAGCTTCAGGGTTTCCAATATGACTTCTGTCTGGACAAGTTTATCTGGTTTCCCATCAGCAGTTTGTGGGCAGGTAGGGTTTAAATAAGCAGCTTTTGACAAGTGATTTAGAAATATTAAACCACCAGAAACCCTTCACTGTTTGAAGTAACATGTCTCTATTTAAGCATCTGTATTTCACGGGGACTTCACAGATCATCTAGTGTAAATAAAACAAATGAAGCAGTAACCTGGTAGAGTGTGGTGGCAAAAGAAAATAGATAATCAGGCGTCTGAGCTACAAATTTTTAAGCTGCTACAAATATTTTCAGACATTATCAAAAATCAAATGTTTCTTTTAAATATAAAAAGCAGTTAAAATGATTCATTAAATATTATTAAATAAAATGGAGCAATGAATTATCTCTAATGGCAAAAAATGGAGGAACTAGAGGAGAGGGGGAGATAAGCGTCAACAAAAGGCTAACGTCTGCAGCACAGTCAACGTGACATCACCGCATGACCGGCGTGATTGCATTTATTCCATTAAGGTAGGCATTCTGTCTCATTTCCTGCAGCCCCCACTTCCACTCTGCCCACAGCTATCACTCTGACACGGTTTCCATGGTCACCGCGCAACAAGTACCCAGAAGCCTAAAGGAAAGAGCTGTCATAAAATATCCCTGCAGGATTTTTTGGCTTTTTTCTGAGGGACCAAAAGAAAAATGTACACATTTGAATTGTTTGAATGAGCAGCAGTGCTTTGCTATTTTTTCATGTAAGAACCACAAACTTTAACCACAAAGGTAGGCTGGTTTTTGCACATCTCTAGAAGCTGTATGTCTATAGTGACTTTCTTATAGTGTTCCTCTTTGCAAAGTAGAAAGGGTGAATCACGTCTTTGAAAAATCATTTAAATCGCTTAAAGATCTACTGTGGTAAAAATTCATTCCAATAAATAAACCCGCTTTGATCAAAACCGTTGTATTGCAGATCTGGTTGCATGTTTAGAGTCAGCTTCCTCCTAGAAGTTTGGGCTCAATTCAAGCGTCAAATCCTTCAAAACCCCTATGGCTGCAAAGATACTGAACGCTGCGCAACTGTAGTCCAGCTGCAAGAAATCCATATCATTAAAATCAATGTGTTCACTCACATCAGCCACGGTGCAGTGCGGGTATGATTACCTAAGTCGTGAGGAAGTTTGGCCGACTCCACCCAAAGCTCCTGAATTTCGTCCGATAATTCTCGGAAAGAGATTCAACGCATATGAAATCCTTTTCATAGTAATGGATCAATCAATCTTCTCATCGGCACTGACAAGCTTCACCGTCCCCGCTGCAGCATGATGCTGCCTCCATCGTGTTTCCTTATAAGGGGTTTGCTGTTTGTGGCATTAGCTTTCCTCCATTTTCTTTTTTTATTTTAAATGAAAAAATAGCTGAACAGATTTCCTAATCCAATTTCTGGATCTCTGAAGCTTCTCCAGATTAACCACGAGCTTCTAGGCTGCTTCTAACATGAATGTTCTCCTTCCAAACTTTCTACATTTTAGCAAAGGATACCCTACTTTGCGTGAAACCCCTTAAAACTCATAAGGTTGCGGTTATAACTTGACAGAATGGAAATAAAGTGCGTGTAATTCTCTTAAACAGCAGTGCATTGCTATACCTCGTTTCAATGCCCTGTTTTATTAGGGACCCTGGCACCTGTGTCTAGACGTGTTGGATTTGCATGCAATTTTACTGCTTCTAACGGCTCAAATGTGTGTCAACCTCCAAAAATACTCCCACTGCTAAATATATAATGGATAAAAATGAAAGCACAGTGGGTTTTAATGGTGGACTGGGGAATTTAAGAGACCTGGCTAAACGGTTACACCACCCTAACACTTCTACGTTAAGCTATTTTTAAAAAGTGACAAATGCAGCACAGGAGTGGCGTTTTTTTTTTTTGTTTTTTTTTTCTTAAGCCCCCCCATATATCCAGTAGGAAAAAAAATGAGAGAACTGTCACTAACGACCATAAACTTTATAGATCAGGTTTGCATAAAAGCGAATAGTGCAGGTCTGTATCTTTCTGCACATGCAAAGCAACCGAACGTACAATGCAAAGTAAAGGTCTAAATTGCCATTTTAGAGGATCTCTATCCAAACACACCTATATGAGGAGATAATTCCTGCACTTTTGGCTAACTTTGGGTGGAGAAAAAGCAGTAGGAGTGGTAAACAAAGATCCATTGTGGTCACCGGAGAGTTTGCAGTAAATTAGCCTGAAAACAACAAGTGCTTCATTCACTTGGCGTGCTTTCCTGTAGCTGGAGGACAAGAGTAACACCTCTTAGTCTGCTACTTTCTTGAGTTACCTTTCATTCCTTGTCTCTTAAAGGAGGCCTGTGGCCAAGTTACGGCTGGCGGCACACAGCCCCACCACCATAACACTATCAGATGAGAAGACCTGGGAAGATGATACGGGCGTAATGGGGTGAAAATCAGTCCCTGCGTGGAGAGAGACGCATTTGCTAATGCCTAATAAAGATTTCACTCTCTCTGCTGTCAGGAGGAGACTCTTGGTGACTGAGGGGACAAATTGGAGGTAAAATAAAAGAGGATCCGGTTTGCAAAATGAAACAGAACAAAAGAGAAGGATGTTTTTTTTTTTATGATAAATGAGGCAAGTTAAAAAATCTAGCAAATCAGATCAGTAAATGCATCAAATATTCTCCGGTATATATCGCAAAGGCATGAGAAGGAAAAAGGGATATTAAAAACCTTCAGGCAGAGCTGCCATTTCTCAAGGAGGGATGTTAGGATCCTAATCATTCCCTTAAAAAAAAAAAATAAAGCTTCTCTGTCCTTCACAGTGTGGATGTCTTGTCCACAGGGCACATGTAAGATCTGCTCGGTGCAATGACAAATCAGATGTTGGGTTGTTAAGCTGCAACAACATAACAGCTCACATTTAAAAGGAGCGTCGCTTCATGAGGCAGCTGGTTGCGCCATAAATCATTTAGGATTGGGTTAAAAAGGAAAAAAAATGCTTTTTCAAGCCATTTCATTAGTGCTAAGATCAATGGATCTCCCAACTTAGCTGATCTTTCCCATTTTGAATAGTAAAATATGCAATACGTGAATCAAAATACTTTACTGGGGTTCATCGTAAAAGTCAACAAAAATCCTCTACAGAAATTCCAACATCTGTGGTTTTTTTACTGTGTAGGCTGCAGCTTCAAAAGACAAGATAACAACTCCACACTGTTCTAGTGTTCTGCTCTGGTTTCTTTGGCTATTTATCACTGTCACATCTGCAGTACAAAGAAGGGGGAAAAAAAGAATGCTCTTCGGTACAGCATGTGGCGCCTACCTCGAATGAGGCGATATCTAAATATCTGGTGTTAAAATACATTAAGATACTCTAGACTAGGGAAGAATAAAGACAAAAAAGAGATTCAGATGTTTTCCAAAAAAGTCTTTGCTGCTTTTAAAATGTTTCTGTTGGTTGTAAACGATGTGACAGCTGGGATGGATCCGAGAATAGAAGCCCTGGAAGGACTCAAAAAGATGAAAAGTAAGCTTGGGAGCGCAGATAAGAGACAAGTTATGTGAAGATTGGATACATTTTTTTATAAAAAAGAAAATAAAGATGTGTTTACGGATGGTGGCTGGTGTCAATAGACCTCTCTGGCCTTTAGCTTCATAGGTCAGAGTCGCCTGCTGACTGAGTACAGGGGGGAGACCCTACACACATGCTAATTTGAGCAGACATCCTACACGCACCAACCATAAAGGTGTCAGTTGTGTTTATGTCTTTCGATCAGTGCTCCTTTCCAAGCTGATCTGCAATATAGAAACTAAACTTATATACAAGTACGTACCTTTAACGAGTCAAAACAGGCAATCACCCTCCCGTTCTCCACCTGGCAGCTTTTGGGCGGGTGGGCGAATTTGCATTCCTCGTCACTGCGCGAACACGTCCCTCTCTGAAACTGCCGGCACACTTCCAGGGTCAGCCATTTTGTGTCCCGTATAGAGGCTATGTTTAGAGCCATGTCGAGGGTTGATGGCTGTGGAGCTGGGGAAGGAGAGGAGCTGCCCGCTTTAGGGAGGAAGCTATCCTGAGCGGAGTGGATTAAAAAAACAAACAAACAAAGCAAAAAAAAAAAAAATCTAATGCACAAGAGCTAAAACCGATGGAACATGTAGCTAAAAATAACCCGCCTCAGGTCGGTGAAGGTGCTTTGTCCTTGCAGACCAAAAAAAAAAAAAAAAAAAGAGGAAATCTGATGGTTAAGTCTCTGAGACCTGAGCATGAGAGTGAACAGTTGTTTTGTTGTGGAGTTTTCTCAGTCAGGCTGATTGATCAGCAACCAGTAAAACTCATCTGCAGATCTCTGAAGACGCAGATGCAGGCATGCCTGGAGACGACCCGTTTAGGCTGCACCACTGTCCTTAAAACGTCCCTTTTATGAAAGATGATATCTTTTTTCCGAGGGTGGGTGTTGAGGAGTAAAAGGTGGCCCTATTTTAAGATACAATGGCACATTTTAGGACAACACAAAGTTTGCAGCTCTTTGATTCGAAGCGCCTTTATGCTTCAGCAATCTGGCCAGCGGTTTAGAGAAGGCGTCAGCTTTCGCTTGGGTTTATTCACACCTAGAAAGCTGACGGGGGACGAAACAGGACTTGAAGCTAAGCGACAACCAAACAGAGGCTGCAGAGAAATATCTGGAGCTCCTCGGACAAAATCTTCAAGTAGGGATGTCGTCTCAAAAGGCACTTTCTGTCTCTGATCTGAAACGTAAAAAACAAAAGAGAGAAGAAACTGGTCAAGCAAAGGTTTAGAAATGTTTATTAACATGTTTGAATTAGACTTTTAATGCCGCCTCACAGAAACTTGAAGTCATATTTGGTAAAAAAAAATAAAAAATACAATGGTGGTAACATCATGCTGTGGGATTGTGTTACTTCAGTAGGACAGGACGGTTGGTCAGACATGATGAATGAGGGTAAACACTGACCAACTCTGGCTAAAAAAAAAAAAAGACTTAACAAAACAACTTAAACCTTTAGATCTAAGGTCTACCAGTCGCTCTCTGGGTGTAGAATCAAATCGTATTCATCAAATTGCTGTCCATCTAACATTTCCGCTGTCTATCATTTAAGTCTCATAAGTGCCTGCCTGCAGTGTTAACTACAGACTGAAGCTCAGTCTGGTCAGGAAGTGGAAGTAAACGTATTTCAAATAAGAATGGGAACATTTTTCTCTTACAAGTCTGAACAACAAATGTAAGCCTGGTCTCTGGAGCAATGATGTTGGTTTAAGGTGTTGGGCACTAATTCTGTGAACGTCAATACTTCCAGACTGCATCCTCAACCACACCAGCTTTGCTTAAAAAGCTTTTAACGTTAAAGATTAAAGCTTTAAAAACCTATCTGACCAAAATGTTGCAGAAAAGAAAATGACAACAAAAAACAAACCGGCTGTCATTGGATTAATTATCAACAATATTAAAACATTATCAAAAGAAGTCCTCCCCCTCCTTCTGCTTATTTTCAATTTCCTTTTATTTTTTCCTTTCCCTTTACATATCCATCCATTTTCTGACACATTTATCCCAAGCGGGTCACGAGGGGTGCTGGTGAAATGTGTGCCAGAATTTAGAGAAGCCAACTAATCTAACAGTCATGTTTTTGGACCTTGGGAGGAAGCTGGAGTACCCGGAGAGAACCCATGCATGCTCAGGGAGAACATGCAAACGCCATGTAGAAAGACCCTAGGCCGGGAATTAAACCCAGAACCATCTTGCTGCAAGGCAGCAGTGCTACCCACTGCGCCACTAAGCAGAATATGTTGTCTTGTATTCCTTGTTGTAAAACAATCATCCCTTCAGCAAACAACTTCAACCAAAAATAAATTAAACTCACAATATAAAGTAAAAAGTGAATAGCTAAAGCTCTAGGGTAGGTAAAGTTTTTCTAACTCCATTAAATATTTTAACTCAAAAAACTACAACAGAACATAAAATGTTTAATACCCCATATTAAGGTCTAAGAATGGATAAGTCCAAAAATGTTATTGACATGTTAAAATCTTATTCTTTATGGGAAATACGTCTCCATTTTTCAAAGACTCAAAAGCCAGTAAAGCCAAACTCCCCAGCTCATTGGACATCTAAAGTCTTTCCAAAATAGTCCATATAACCCAGAAAATGGAAGAACTGTTTGTGTAGTAAGATGTGAAACCAGAGCAAATAGTCGGGTTGGAGACAGAAAAGAAGCTCTGGGGTTTAACGTGGCCTGTAGAGAAACACATGGCGGTACGACCAATAGAAAAAGTGCAGCACAGCACTACTCTGGGCAACCATCCAGCAGCCAGGGAGAGACTGAGACAGATGCATATGCCACTGCCAGACATGATTATGACGCTGTCCAGTGTCACACAACATTCACCAGCCACTCTCTCCGTCCATATTAGGGACCGGCTCATTGACATCAGCCTGTCGGTTTACATTCATGCAGGCTGTGTCAGAACAAGCTTCCTTCCTTCCTTGGCCTGCAAAGGCACTGGTCTGTGCATCTGAATGTCATCTAGAGGGAGCGAGGGGACATTGATAAAGCAACAAGCTGAGGAAGTGACCTTTCGCTTGGGAGTATGAAATCTATTACTAAGCTACTGAGCAGGGAGCTTGTTTCTGGGCACATCTGGAAATGTTTTGTTGGTAACTGTGGGCTGAAGGGGAGGAGAGAAAAGAGGAGGGTTGTAAAAAGCTAGAGCAGTGGTTAAAAGAGTATTATTTTACTATTATATGTATTGAAAAAGTATGGAAAATGGTGGATTGGCCTACTTCTTAAATTAGTAAAATAACAAGCTAAGACTTGTTGTAGGGTTTTTGAAATCTTCCCAACATTTTACATTTCTTGACACTAAAAGTTTTACCCATTTTTTAAAACAATTTTAAAGTATTTGTATCAGCTCATCACTTTTAGGAGATCTCCACTGTTAAAAGACTTAAACACCAGCAGATAGAAAGTAAGCTAAGTGAGTTTATGAAGGACTAGAAAGAGGGTTTTCTGGATTAAAAAGAGTCGCTTCCTCTTTAAAACAAAGCAGTTTTAAGCCGATAAATTCAAACTAGTTAATCATATTGTCCCGCTTTAGTGCTGATCATGTGAAATGAGATCAGAAGCTTCCTTTTTGCCCGATCACACTGACGCCCGGGCTTTTGCTCTCCAAGGCGGGATCTAATTTCAAATCACCCCCCCCCCCCTCCTCCTCCGTGCCCCAAGGGAGTGAACCAATCGCTGCAGAAAGAGACAGTCAGGTAAGAATCATGTCAGATCTGACCTTTAGCAATTAATCCCTTCTTATTTTTAGAAGCCATAAGATGTCTGCCATGGAGCTAACCTAATTTGTCAGCATGTGAAGAAGCGTTGGCGCCTGTTGTCTGTTTAATGACGAGCTTGAAATGATGTGCAAAGAGGGGCTGTTAACACCAAATTATTACTTTTACACCTTTAAAAAAAAAAAAAAGCATTAAAAATAAGCGGCATTTTTCACACAAAATCGTGCGACTCTAAGCAGATAGACCTTCGCTACTGAGCTCTTTGGGGTCACCTCAACTCCCAACTTTGAGGCATTTTCTAGTCCTGGAAAAATATTCCAAGCATATGGTGAGGGATGAAGATAAAAGGCTTCTTTATAACGGTGGTAGTAAGATAAGGAAACACATGCAGGAACAGGACTGCACATTTGTTGGCATACTGCTAATATCTGCTGTATTTTTATGCAGTATAAGCAGAAAGTTTTCATTTGGTGAAATGCGCATTTTAAAACACAAAAAAAGTTTGAATTTATAAAACAAACGTAGTAAAACTGAGGAGGAAGTGAGATCCTACAGGTATCCTGAAAGATTACAGGAGGAACAGCTTTAAAGTCTGCTTTGAACACCTTGCCAAGGTTAAATAATTGTAATTTGACATTATAGCGCATGCCTTGCTCTTTTGCCTGCACTGTGCCTTTACTTTTCTGTCTGCTTGTTGGACACCACTGTGGAGGGCGCTTTCTATAACCCTTAACCGATAGATGAAATCCCTCTCAATCTGAATGATTGGTTTAAAATGTCCTTGCATGAAACCCTAAACAACTGAAACTTAAAGAACTGGAGGTAAAGGTAGATTCTGCAAATTACACCGGACAGCAACACTCTGTCCTGAACCCAAGTGGCTAGACGGAGATGTAAAGAAAAGAATCCCAGCGTTAGATTTTGTGGATTACTGACGCTTACTAAGGCCAGCTGCCAGAGGCATTATCTTGGTCAGTCTGTTTAATTGAATGAGAGTCAGCGAGACTGGGATGTCTTTAGTGAAAGTTGTTGCCCTGACCTCTAAAAACCGGTGTGCCACCCTTTAGTCTGCAATCTGTGCAGGGTGGTTTATCTTAAACGCTTGTAGTTGCTCAGCAAAGATCATGAGTAGAGTTTCGAAGCAGCTGCATTTCCATTTATAACGATTTTATGCTGGCAGGACGTTTTGAAATACCGAAAGGAACAAGTAGACAGTGTTTTCCATTTCCTACCAGAAATGGAAAATGAGTTTAAGCTTAATCAAAGGCGATGATGCTTTGAGAATCCTGTTCTGTTCAATTCTATCAAGTACCATTAGGTATAATGATGGGTGAGGGAGATCAGCAGAGTCTAAGCTATGAGCGTTTTCCAGAGTCAGCAGGAAGGTGAGCCCCATATCATAATAGCCTTAGCTTCACCAGGGTGACCCAGACAGCCCGTATCTCCTGAAATAGGACGGCCTGTTTTTGTATCAGAGCAGTAATGTGCGTTTTAATAGAGAAAAGGCGAGAGGCTTCCAGCTTTTCTTGACCGCCCGCACTCGTTTAACAGATTTGTTTTCCCTAAGCATTCTCGTCTGCTCTCTGGTAAGTCGAAGGGACTCAGGCAAGTCATCATCTAATTATAGTGCAGTCGTCTGCCAGAGATGGATTGTGCATCGCAGATAAATATGATGATTAACAGGGCTTTTCAAGATAATTAATGGTAAAAACACATTAAATACCACACTTAGCTTAACAGTTTTGAGTTCAGCTGACATGTATGTTTGCTTGATATAGAGCGAATACTTCAACTCTGGGTTATGAGTAAGTGATTTGAAGATAAATTCAGCTGAGATTTAATCTTGAGGTGGGGCTGCGCGCACGTCTGTGATTTAGTCGGTCTATTTTCAACAGGAAGGGCCGGGACTGTTGTTCCATTTCAGAAAACACCCACTTCCCCTTGATCTGCAGCCAGGCGCATGACACCACTCTGGCCTTTTCCACGCAGTCTGCAACGTCCAGTTCTTTAACCGCGCCAGCTCCCAGTTTTGGAGTGGAATACTAAATCTGGGTGGACTTCCAAGAAATCTAGAACCACCCTTAATTAGACCATAATGAAGTCTGTGAAGTTCGAGATCTTTCCAACGAACTTTGGAAAAAAAGAAAAAGAAAAACTCTACTGGTTGCATGACGAGGCTTTGCAATTGGAAAAACTTCATCTCATGTGGCGAAAATGAGTCCCTGACATTTGGAGTGAGGAAGGGGCAAGTCAACTGCTGTGATAACGCCTTTCCCCCCCAGGAGTTAAAAGAGAAAGTCCATTTAGGGGCCTGTAAACAGCAGTGGAGATGGTGAGCTCCCAGAGCTCCGATGCATTCCCCCCTCCTCTTGCTATATTTTTCTTTCCTCGTTTTCTGTCTCACACCCTTTTTCTTAAACAGATAAAACATTGCCTCAAGTCCCTCCC